AGCAAGCTTGACCACCCGACCTCGTTAGTCACCTCTTACAACAAGCATAGTCGCCTTTTACAGCAAGCATGGGTTACCACTTTCCCGGGTCAGGCAGTCGGGCATTCTGTTTGAACACCCCTTCCTTTTTCATGTATCATTATGACATTTGATATGCAGTAAACGTGTATGTGTTATATGGAATATTATATTATGAAGGGTTTCTTATTTATGCATTTATTAATTTTTTGATCCAGTTATGTCCTTTGATCTTCACATAACCCTGTCTATTTGATTGTATTGCATTTTCAACACCCGTCCTCACAGCAATGTTGTCTCTAAAATGTCCTCATAGAATTCTTTTCTGAGTTTAACATGTTTAAATATGGCTATCATATTAAAAGTGTAAATTTAAAAAATTGCTTTCCAATTTTTGCGTGTATTATTGTTAAATTTGTAATTCATAAAAATGATGCACAATATATTTGACTGGGTTTTGTGGTAATTTGAATGACTTCAACCTGGGATGTATAAGATAAGTTGTGAATGCCTCTCCATGACTGATTGACAAAAATCGTGGTCCACTTTTTGTACCTCTACTGAGCTGGAGACACATGTAACAGTGTAATTTAACGAACAAGCTGTGAGGATGTCCGATGGGTAGAGACTTTTCTTTCCAAGCGTGTCATTTATTTACACTGATGCAGTGTTATGTGACTTCTTTAATCTGATATAATACAGATGTCATGATAACTTTACCTCACACAGTGGTACATATCATGGACCCGTGAAGATCCGGGGTAGAATAGGTCTTCAGCAACCCATGCTTTCCATAAAAAGCGACTATGCTTGTCATAAGAGGCGACTAACAGATCGGGTGGTCAGGCTCGCTGACTTGGTTGATGCATGTCATCAGTCCCAACTGCGTGGATCAATGCTCATGATATTAATCACTGGTTTGTCTGGTCCAGACTCGATAATTTACAGACCACCGTTATATAGGTGGAATATTGCTGAGTATGGCGTTAAACAACAAACCAAAAGATACATACCATGTATATGGTATACTTGAGTCATGATGCAATATGTCTCGCAATACTCAAATGAGGTTCCATGGCTAAGCTGACAGTTCCTCAAAATCTCATTGAAACCAGATCTTATTTTACCTAAGCAAAGATCTGAGGACATTCCATTACAGATAATATCCGAGTGACCTTTCATGAACCTTGACTGCCCTATGAAATTACTAACAAGAAGTCAACATTGGCCAATCAGAAAGTCACTTTTTTAGTTTTTTGGCGCTAGGTTCAAACTGACAACTTCTGTTCCAGACTACACTTTAAAAAATATTGACTCAACAGAGCTACAGATACACTGCGTCTTTGTGTAAAATACCCCTCAAAACTATTCAAAACCGTACAGAAAGGCATATACAGTAGAACACGGATATAACGAACTACTAGGGACCAGAGAAATCAGTTCGTTCTATTCGTTGTTCGTTATACACGTTTTTTCATTTTTCGATTTACATACGAAATGTGTAGTCTGTAATTTTACTTTGGCCTCGTTTCGCTGACTGCATTCTTGAAACGGCATCGTTCAGATCCGCCAAACTGTCAAAAACTGTTTGTTTTACAGACAAGATTACATGTACAGGTAAGATTAACACAATGCAAATTTAACAAGAGTGATCCGTCACCACTGATTGTATTGATCGCCGCCATTGTTTTGATTCGCCGCTGATTGCATACAGCCAATTGTCAGTGACACTTGACACTGAGAGATTTCTCAGTTCGCTATACACGTCGCTAATTAGTGATAAATGGGCTTGTCGGTGATCAGGTATCAGTTCGCTGTATCCGTTAGTTCGCTGTAGAGAGTTTGTTATATACGTAAACTTTATATGATATTATATAGGAGATAAATCGGGGATTTTTTAACAGTTCGTTGTATCCGTTTGTTCGCTATATCCGTGTTCGTTATATCCGTGTTCTACTGTATATGAAATGATAAACTCAGTTGTTTGAAAACAGCATGTGTACATACCAATGAAACTTTTTCAGCATGCGTACAACAGAGCTAATTTCCTAAACACAATTACAAGCTAATTTACTTTCCTAGTCGATCCTATATTTAGAACCGTTAGATACATCTAAAACATTATTTCATTTTTATCCCCCGGCATATAATGCAGGGGGGATATAGCGATCAGCCAGTCTGTCTGTCCGTCCGTCTGTCTGTCTGTAATCATTTCCTTTCGCGGGGCAGAACTTGAAAACCATTCAGTGTATTTAATCGAAACTTGACAAATCTAACCGTCACACACTGAAGTGGTGCCTTTTGATATTTTGGGATTTTTCAAATTTTTATTTTATTCAAATTTTTAGGGATAGAAGTTGGACATAGATTCCATTGGGGATGGGGTTCGTTTCCGGGGCAGAATTCGAAAACCATTCAGTATATTTGATGGAAACTTGAAAGATGTATCAGTCACATGCTGAAGTGGTGCCTTGTGCTATTTTGTAATTTTAAAAAAAATTATTTTTGCATTTAGGAATGTTTCAAAATTTCATTTTTCTGTGTATCCATGGACACAAGTTAGACTTTGCTGAAATAGAGGTAGATGTCGTTTCTGGAGCACCACGAAAAAACAGTTCAACGGTGTTGAATCAAACTTGGAACATGTATTATTCAGGGGTTGAAGTGGTGCCTGTAGATAATTTTTTTTCGTTTCCATGGCAAGAAGTTTGACTTTGACTACATCTTTAAAACTAATAGGTATTCTTCCCTGAAACTATACACATATATGACCAGTTTGTCATCTGGTGCCTTTTGCTATTTAGGGTTTGTTAGAATTTATATTTTTTCCATTTCCCTGGCAACAAGTTTGACTTTGACTGTTCATGTTGGTGTGTACCTGACATAGACATGATAGAACTACAAAGTTCCGAATCCCAATTCCATGGTATTGTTGTGATAGCTCAATAACTACTCTTGTATAATGAAAGACAGGTCAGATAGAAAATTTTCATCAAGTGGACTTAACAGGCAGATAATTTGTACTTTCAAATTTGTAGGGGCAGGGGGATTTGTCATCTTCTGTTTTTTAAATCTCTAAATGCTTACTCATTTTGGGAAAAACCCAATAGAGTGATGAATAGATGAGTGAAATAATATTGTTTACCCAATGAAAAATGTAATAACCCAATTAAAATAGAAACCTTGGAGTAAAAACTCAATTGCGCAAAAAGTCATCTGGACCTCTGCTCAATATTTGAAAACCGAACTAAATAACATTGTGGATGGCCTAGACCATGGCAGTCTCCCACGGGCTATGCAGAGTCTCTTCCATTCAATGTTTATCCCCTTGTAGCCAGAGATAGATGATGATTGTGACAGATTCAGTGGTACTGCACGTTACTGTTGTTCAGAAAGACCGCCTCCGTGGTCTAGTGGTAGAGCGTCCGCCCGGAGAGCGGAAGGTCCGGGGTTCGATCCTCGGCCGCATCATACCAAAAGATGTTAAAAGATGGAACATGTTGTTACCCTGTCTGGTGCTCAGCATTCAGGGGCTAAAACAAGGTCTGGTCGGCTCGGAGTCAGTATACTGTGTCTGAGTGGGGTATTCATGTTAAACTGCGGCATGGTATCTCAGTGTGCTAGCACTATAAATCGGCATCAGTCCGGACAGGTACAAGCAGCCACACAAACACACACACGTGCATGCATATCGCTTTATTAGGGCAATAATCTTGGACGCAACGTTAAACCCAATTTCACCTCACCTCACCTGTCGTTCAGAATATCCCATATTAACCTTTTCGAGGTTGCATGCTTAGAAAACACATTCTGACTGTCACTTTCCTGATCTTGTAAGCAACGCTCTGATTGGATGGATGAAAGGTCATTCTGACATGACCCGTAATGGGTTGTTAGATCTTTGTTTAGCGGTAGCGAGAACTAAGATCTGATTTTAATGAGATTGGCAGTTTGTGTTTAACTTGATTGGTTAATGTCGGTTTGTTCACATAGTTTTATGCAATCAGAGTGAGTCTGATATGCAGGAACGTAATGTTGGCCCAGGTTGTTAGCAGCCCAAGTTACTGCAAAACATAGTATATACAGGGGTTATCCAGGGTTCTTACTGAGTGCTCTTGACAGACAATTTGGAAACAAGTCATTTGCTCCAATTGGTCACGAGTCACTTCTGCAATGCCTTAACATTAGTTATAACAATGTAACATGCATTGAGAATTTGTAATTCCAACTTAGGAATGACATTTGCTGCAGACTTATCAGCCTTAGGAGAGATTTCTGAAGATGAGTCCCTGATGTATAACCTTTTGACAATCGATACAGAGTTGAAACATAGATAGATACATGGGTAGGTGTATCGTGTATTGTCAGGCCTAAATTCAGGATGCATCAGTGAATTTTGATAACCCTAAAATATGATATTTTTTAAGTTTCCGGTGAGCTGCAGAACCTGTGACTGTATTGTTTTTCTGCTAGGTGAGGTGAGGTAAAATGGGGTTTAATGTCGCGTCCAAGATTATTGCACTTATATAGCGACGTGCATGCACGTGTGTGTGTGTAGCTGCTTGTACTAGTCCGGACTGTTGCCGATTTATAGTGCTGGCACACTGAGATACCATGCCGCAGTTAAACATGAATACCCAACTCAGACAGTATACTGACTCCGATCCGACCAGTCCTTGTTTTAGCCCCTTAATGCCGAGCGCCAGACAGGGTTACAACAAGTACCATCTTTTAACGTCTTTTGGTATGACGCGGCTGGGGATCAAACCCCTGACCTTCCGCTCTCCGGGGGGGACACTCTACCACTAGACCACGGAGGCGGTCGATTTTCTTCTAAACATGAACCCGAAGAAGTGTGAAACTTTCTAATTCGAGACAAGCCTTCTGATGAACAGGCCATGTGACCATGTGAGATTGATATGTAAACAAACTTGTTCATATGTGTCATGTGTGTGAACTGAAACTGGGTTGATCTGTTTCAGGGATGCCGATGTTGTGTGCAGATGTAGTCGGCAGCCACGGGCGGTGACGGAACACACAAGTATGAAGATACACCAGTACAGTACAGCACTGTCACAAAGCCACGTCAGGTGACCATCAGGGTTTTGATGTTCAGGGTCTTGGTGTTCAGGGCCTAATTGCCTTAGTGTGCAGAACCTTATGGCCTTAGTGTTCATAGACTTGTGGCCTTAGTGTTCAGAGCCTTATGGCCTTAATGTTCAGGTCCTTATGGTCTTAGTGTTCAGAGCCTAATGGCCTTAGTGTTCAGAGCCTAATGGCCTTAGTGTTCAGGGTCCTTTGGCCTTAATGTTCACAGACTTAATGTTCAGAATCTTAGTGTCCAGGGCTGTATGGCCTAAATGTGCAGAGCCTTAGTGTTCAGGGCCTTGTGGCCTAAATGTTCAGGGCCTTAGTGTCCCGCCTTCAGGTTTTACTTTCAAGTAAGACCTGCTTTGAGATTTCATTTCTTTAAACATGTTGAACAATGAAGCAAGACCTAAGGTTTTACTTTGAATAATTATTAAGAGCTGCTTTGTGGTTATACTTTTGAACTCTATAATTTAATTTGCATCTGATATTTTTTAATCCCCCACCCAATGAAGTTGGTGGGGGGATATAGAAACGGGCTCCGTCCGTCCGTCTGTCCATCACGTTTCCGGAGCATTACTCAGAAACCATTCAATATGTTTTCATGAAACTTTGCAGGTCTATCAGGTACATGCTGAACTGGTGCCTTTTGCTATTAAGAAATTTTAGAAATTTATATTTTTTACGTTTCCATGGCAACAAGATGGACTTAGGTTCTGTGAGGGTAGGGTTCGTTTCCGGATATTTTTTAATGAAACTTGCAGGTCTGCTAGATACATGCTCAACTGGTGCCTTTTACCATGTTTTACTATTTAGAAATTTTAGAAATTTATATTTTTTTTATTTTTCCATGGCAACAAGTTGAACTTTTAGAAATTAATGAATTCTTCTTTTAAATGTCAAAAAATTCAACTTGATACCCATTTAACCTGTTAAAGGAATCTTATAAGTCATAATAAAGTTTTGTGTGTGCCTACATTTTGTGTTTGAGGTATCTCCCATAGCAGGTGAAACTGTGGATGCCTTCTACCAAGTTGTCAGTATGTGCCTCAATAATGGTTGAGGGTAGCTTTCATTTAATGACTTCATTATGAAATCCATCATCCCTACTTCTGCATTGATTATGACAGAGATGAGTGTGCGATAAGATGGCATACTTCTCTATGAAACCTTTTACAGTTTTCAGTTGATATGAAGACCTTTGTGCTGTAGAGTTTTAACATTCACATTTATGATATTGTCTTGTTTGATTTTTCACTTTATCATATCACATGGGATGACCATATTGTTAAAAAGCCACAACATAAAATGTGTGTGGCGCTTGTGGCAGCCTACTTCCTCGCAGGGAATGCCAGTAACATGACTTGTAATGTTTTTTCTTTCTCCCACCCTCATGAATTCAGTAGTAAATGTAGTAACTGGTTTTGTCAGTTTGTACTTCCATCATGTTTTTTGTTGAGAAGGTTTCATTTTTTTTTTGGAACTTCATAGAAATTGTGATTTGCAGCATTTCATTTTGTTTCTTCAGGATATTTTGCATTTACATCAAGTAGATGCTCCCCTGCTGCCTTTACACCTATATTTTCAAATGTATGTGTCTGTGTGATCATTTGCTGGGCAGGAGACTTTTGGCCACATTAGTGGCAAACTCTTCTTTTTTAACAATTTCCATGACAACAAATTCCACCTGAGTAAAAAAACGTTAGGGTTTGTTTGGATTTAATTATGTCATAAATTCTGCAATAGGGGCGGGGGATATAGCCACGCTAGTGGCAAACTCTTGTTATTCATTAAAGTGGTTTTTTTCACATGTAAATTGCATGACATGATCAAATCTGCATGCATCACTACATTGTTGATTGTTTCATCCACATCACTACAGTGTTGATTGTTTACATCACATCACTACAGTGTTGATTGTTTACATCTACTGCAGGTATCACTACAGTGTTGATTGTTTACATCACATCACTACAGTGTTGATTGTTTACATCTACTACAGGCATTACTACAGTGTTGATTGTTTACATCTACTGCTGGCATTACTACAGTGTTGATTGTTTACATCTACTGCAGGCATCACTACAGTGTTGATTGTTTACATCTACTGCAGGCATTACTACAGTGTTGATTGTTTACATCTACTGCTGGCATCACTACAGTGTTGATTGTTTACACCACATCACTACAGTGTTGATTGTTTACATCTACTGCAGGCATTACTACAGTGTTGATTGTTTACATCTACTGCTGGCATCACTACAGTGTTGATTGTTTACATCACATCACTACAGTGTTGATTGTTTACATCTACTGCTGGCATCACTACAGTGTTGATTGTTTACATCTACTGCAGGCATAACTACAGTGTTGATTGTTTACATCACATCACTACAGTGTTGATTGTTTACATCTACTGCTGGCATCACTACAGTGTTGATTGTTTACATCTACTGCAGGCATCACTACAGTGTTGATTGTTTACATCTACTGCTGGCATTACTACAGTGTTGATTGTTTACATCTACTGCAGGCATCACTACAGTGTTGATTGTTTACATCTACTGCTGGCATCACTACAGTGTTGATTGTTTACATCTACTGCAGGCATTACTACAGTGTTGATTGTTTACATCTACTACAGGCATCACTACAGTGTTGATTGTTTACATCTACTGCTGGCATCACTACAGTGTTGATTGTTTACATCTACTGCAGGCATTACTACAGTGTTGATTGTTTACATCTACTACAGGCATCACTACAGTGTTGATTGTTTACATCTACTGCAGGCATCACTACAGTGTTGATTGTTTACATCACATCACTACAGTGTTGATTGTTTACATCTACTGCAGGCATCACTACAGTGTTGATTGTTTACATCTACTACAGGCATCACTACAGTGTTGATTGTTTACATCTGCTACAGGCATCACTACAGTGTTGATTGTTTACATCTACTGCAGGCATCACTACAGTGTTGATTGTTTACATCACATCACTACAGTGTTGATTGCTTACATCTACTGCTGGCATTACTACAGTGTTGATTGTTTACATCTACTACAGGCATCACTACAGTGTTGATTGTTTACATCTACTGCAGGCATCACTAAAGTGTTGATTGTTTACATCACATCACTACAGTGTTGATTGTTTACATCTACTGCTGGCATCACTACAGTGTTGATTGTTTACATCTACTGCAGGCATCACTACAGTGTTGATTGTTTACATCACATCACTACAGTGTTGATTGTTTACATCTACTGCTGGCATCACTACAGTGTTGATTGTTTACATCTACTGCAGGCATTACTACAGTGTTGATTGTTTACATCTACTGCTGGCATCACTACAGTGTTGATTGTTTACATCTACTGCTGGCATCACTACAGTGTTGATTGTTTACATCTACTGCAGGCATTACTACAGTGTTGATTGTTTACATCTACTGCTGGCATCACTACAGTGTTGATTGTTTACATCTACTGCAGGCATCACTACAGTGTTGATTGTTTACATCTACTGCTGGCATTACTACAGTGTTGATTGTTTACATCTACTGCAGGCATCACTACAGTGTTGATTGTTTACATCTACTGCTGGCATCACTACAGTGTTGATTGTTTACATCTACTGCAGGCATTACTACAGTGTTGATTGTTTACATCTACTACAGGCATCACTACAGTGTTGATTGTTTACATCTACTGCTGGCATCACTACAGTGTTGATTGTTTACATCTACTGCAGGCATTACTACAGTGTTGATTGTTTACATCTACTACAGGCATCACTACAGTGTTGATTGTTTACATCTACTGCAGGCATCACTACAGTGTTGATTGTTTACATCACATCACTACAGTGTTGATTGTTTACATCTACTGCAGGCATCACTACAGTGTTGATTGTTTACATCTACTACAGGCATCACTACAGTGTTGATTGTTTACATCTGCTACAGGCATCACTACAGTGTTGATTGTTTACATCTACTGCAGGCATCACTACAGTGTTGATTGTTTACATCACATCACTACAGTGTTGATTGCTTACATCTACTGCTGGCATTACTACAGTGTTGATTGTTTACATCTACTACAGGCATCACTACAGTGTTGATTGTTTACATCTACTGCAGGCATCACTACAGTGTTGATTGTTTACATCACATCACTACAGTGTTGATTGTTTACATCTACTGCTGGCATCACTACAGTGTTGATTGTTTACATCTACTGCAGGCATCACTACAGTGTTGATTGTTTACATCACATCACTACAGTGTTGATTGTTTACATCTACTGCTGGCATCACTACAGTGTTGATTGTTTACATCTACTGCAGGCATTACTACAGTGTTGATTGTTTACATCTACTGCTGGCATCACTACAGTGTTGATTGTTTACATCTACTGCTGGCATCACTACAGTGTTGATTGTTTACATCTACTGCAGGCATTACTACAGTGTTGATTGTTTACATCTACTGCTGGCATCACTACAGTGTTGATTGTTTACATCTACTGCAGGCATCACTACAGTGTTGATTGTTTACATCTACTGCTGGCATTACTACAGTGTTGATTGTTTACATCTACTGCAGGCATCACTACAGTGTTGATTGTTTACATCACATCACTACAGTGTTGATTGTTTACATCTACTGCTGGCATCACTACAGTGTTGATTGTTTACATCTACTACAGGCATCACTACAGTGTTGATTGTTTACATCTACTGCTGGCATTACTACAGTGTTGATTGTTTACATCTACTGCAGGCATCACTACAGTGTTGATTGTTTACATCTACTACAGGCATCACTACAGTGTTGATTGTTTACATCTACTGCTGGCATCACTACAGTGTTGATTGTTTACATCTACTGCTGGCATCACTACAGTGTTGATTGTTTACATCTACTGCTGGCATTACTACAGTGTTGATTGTTTACATCTACTGCTGACATCACTACAGTGTTGATTGTTTA